ACACATACAAACACATTTCTTTCATAATACACTAGTACAAGATACAACAAAGTTCGTACATGTTTCTCATAGGTGGAATATACCTATAGATAATTTAAAAGGTGAAATTAATTAACAGCCTTAATTTAAACGTAATGTTCTTTGTGTGTAAAGAGATGTTTGTACATGCTTTTCTTTTTCATGTTTTCTTTATTTACTTCAACCTTAGGTAGTTCATAGATAATTCGCCTTTGATTAACTTGTTACTTAGATAAAAGATAGGGAAACAAAACTATTCGTCTAATCAGTCAGATAATTATCTTATATATTTACACTATAAAACGTTCAATGTATTATATTAGAATTATTTTGACCTCTTTCATATAAATACGTTCGTATTATTATGTTAGATTTGAATGAGAACGCCCGATTCTAAATTACGTAACTAGGTCTTGTACCAAACGTCTGTAAAATTAAATTATATTTGTGTATAAGTGTTTGAATTATCCGCTAATTTTTCAGCTCATTTGATTTTTTCCCCAAGTGGATATACCGGAATGTGATATATAAATATGTAACAGTGTTCAATGCCAGACACAATCAATTTGAGTCGGCCGTTTCTTTTGCCTATTTTCTTGTTCATACATATGTATTGTTCTCAAAGGATTTCTTACTTTCTTTCTATGAATGTTAACAGATAAATGAGTAAACGAAAGCCATTTAATCCTTAAAGGTACTTTATACCTAACAATAATTGTTTCTGAAATTCCTTTGTAAAATGTGAGAAACAATTGCTTATTGAGTACAGGTTGATTATTTAAAAGTTTTAATCTTTAATAATTATGTGCATCTTTATGCTGATGTTTTACATGTCATTTGAAATACTAAAAATTTACAAGATAGAGTGAATGAATTTATTGCCAGTAACAAAAATCAGCTCTTAAAGCAGTGCATTTTAACATTTAAGATTTGCATGTTTTTATTTACTTCAGTATTGTCTTATTTTTCTGGTCCTTCGGGATCCTTGATTACAACACTTTTAGGTGTTGAAAATTAAGAACCCTCAAGCCGGTGCTAGGGGACGTGAGGGATGTTGTACTTTTTTCCTTTTTCCTCGTGTGCAAACTCAATCAAACCGAGTTTGCAATTTTCATGTAATTTTGTTGTGATTAATGCTTTCGATGGATCACACCTTTCTCCAGATTTATATAAATCTATATGTATCAAACAAACTTTATCTATTTGAGAAAATACCGAGGATGACATTTAAAGAAATATGAGCCGCGTCACGACAAAATCAACATAATGGGTTTGCGACCAGCATGGATCCAGACCAGCCTGCGCATCCGCGCAGTCTGATCAGGATCCATGCTGTTCGCTTACAAACCCTATAACAAGTAGAGAATCTGATAGCGAACAGCATGGATCCTGATCAGACTGCGCGGATGCGCAGGCTGGTCTGGATCCATGCTGGTCTTAAACCGGTTATGTAGGTTTTGTCGTGACGCGGCTCAAATAATTTCATTTCACTATGCACTAAAAGGTATTCGAATAATTTTATTCGTACACATACAGTTTGAAAGTAATCACAATTGATACATTGATTGGTTTAGAAAATAAATGTGCCATGTCTTGCAAATGGCGTGTTGTGAGCACCTGTTAAAACTAATAATTCTAATAATATGACAAATATTGTTTTACGTAGAACATACATTTATTGAAAGTTAAATTAGAAAAAAATATGCCATACATTAAGATATAAATGCTTCTTTTTAACAAGTTATTTCTATGCAATAAAATATATGTTTGAAAAAGAAAAAAAAACTACAAAAAAAACCATGAAATAAGTAATGCTTGAAACTGCTCTTTCCTGTACTCAGAAATAGTCCCTTCCTAAATCATTCCTGTATTGTTATGACATTTGTTATGTTAAACAAACTGACAATACACTCACCATGTCCATTATCCTATTATTAAAACATTAGAAGCACGTGCACTGCACGGACATTTGCAGTTTCCATCATAACTAATTAATCATTTTCCCCCGTTCATACTTATTAATATCGGATATCAGCGTACTATGTAATTTCTGGTAGACGATTAACTTGACTTTTGTACAAGTCTTTCAGATGTCGATATTTGTGGAGATATGTGCCTCTGCCTGTTTGATTGCATCGGAAACAAGACAGGAATAATACAAACGCATCTTATCTTGTTATAAGAAATAGGATTTATTTTAGAGGAGAAGTTAATGAGATTTATTAGAGAAATGAATTAATGGAATGAAAAAATATCGTGGAATATATTTGTGGAATGTTTTAATCATTATTTTCAATTTGAGGGTGAGTGATTGCTTTTTTAAAAAATAATTTTATTTTGATTTAAATAAATCATCAATGAATTATTGAAAAATAAATATGCACAAGATTTTACGGTTTTATTCAACAGCTATTTATTGAATATTGAAATCATATTAAAATTTTATATTTTGGGCATTTCTTTTTGATTGGCTGATGGCTGATAATTGTTTTAAAAGTTACTCACATTGCAATTACATGTATTTATATAATATCTTAATAAAATCTCAATTATTTCATTATTATTTTAACATTAAATATATATTTCAATATACAAATACTTATGGACAAATAATATTGCAACTTCATCAAGGGCACTTGCCTGTATACTTTTACACCAGGTCCTGCTATGCTGTTGTTAGTTTTTTGTTGCTGTTTTGTTAGTAGTTTATATTGTTGTTGTTTTAAATGAATATTTCAGAAATAAATTTAGAGAACTGCTTTAAATTTATGTAACCTAGTTAAAGCTTTTTACTTCTTTTCTTTGTAATTTCATTAGTTCATAAACTAATTTTAAACATGTCTTTTAAATTCCCGTGATGATACCATAAATGAATGATTATATAGTTAAATAAAATTTGTGAAGCTATTTTACTATTACAACTCTTGATTAAGATCTAAGAACGAAATTTGCATTCAAGAAAACCGACAATTTGTTTACCATAATTATAAGCGATTTCATTGACATAATTATATATCGCGTTACGGTGGTAGGCCTATATTAACGTCGTTTAATAAATTCGATATTGTATGGGTGTAATAACTTTATTAGAAAATAAATGCTGCAACTGATTGCATTAATTACGTAATAATGCGTACCGTATTATTGCAGACATACTGCAAGAGCGGTGGTTAACCCTCAGAAATATTGATCAAAGAAACAACAAAGCCAATTCAATTTATATACAAATAGCTGTTTTATCTATTGAAGTTGAGCATCTTTTACATGTAATTCTCTTAAATCAATTACTCTTAGAGTATTACTTACTCTGTAGAAAAATTGAATGCATGATGTTAAGGTATGATCTTGAGCTCTGGAATAAACTTAACTTGTTAACCATATTGCATATATCACAACTGCCCAACATCAAACATGTTAAAGAACCAACCAACATTATGTTGTCATACTCACCCTCTCTGTTTGATTTTAAATATCACTAAAACTAGTACTAGTTTGTATACAAAACATCATTAACTCAAAGAACTGACAAATCAAAATTCAAAGTTATCGTAATTTATATATATACTATGATCATCTTAATATGTTTTTATCGTATAAATATTTTTGAAAACTACGAAAATCTTCCTGAATACGTTTGATTTGAATAAAAGAATGTACAAACTGTGTATGGGAAGCTGCATTAACTTGTACTTGGTGCTTTTTTAAAAAAAGTACCAGTTTTTTATGGCAATACAATCTATATATTCTTATTGTTTCCACCTATAGTGCGTAGAGTTTAAAACATAGCATATCTACTTTGTGTGTATTCAAAACATGTTTTTTCTGTATTTACAAAGAGACTGTGTAACAATTATCAATATTTTAAGATATCCTGAACTTATTTATAACATCACATGTAAGAACATTTTATGCATATTTTTGATACACTGATCTATGTACCTTTTGTATGTTGTCGTCATCGCCGTCGCCATTATTGTTGTTGTTGCTGCTGCTATTAATGTTGTTAGTGCAAAGCTTTTTTGCTCATTAATAATTAATTTCCTTGGTTTGCCTCTTTTACAGGTGTAAAATTGATTTTATTATGTATGTTTTTTTAATACAACCTTGCTCCAAAGACAAGATTTGTTTCTCTAATATCAGGATTTTATTGGTCAGTGTACATTCTGTGGCCATTTGCTGACCAATCAAATGCCTAAGATAGGGGTTTGATCTTAAAGAATTTCTTTAAAACCCTGGACCCAGATATTTTATCTTTTAAGTTTCATTACATCTAGTGAAATTTACTTCAAAAGACACTTATGTTTACTATACAATCCTCTGCTTCTTGTTGGTGTATCAGTAATGCATTTTTACAGAAATAATGATTGTTATTTCCATCTCCCTATGGGTCTGTATCTTGTGTTCTCCACATACACTATAAACTATTTAGTCTTTGCGGGGGATTGATAACGATGCATTAGGCAACGTTAAAAATATCATCTACTTTGATGAAAGTCTTTATCTATTTTTATATTAAATAAACATGATATACAAGTGTCTGCATGTTCCGACAAGTATACGAGTAATACGAGTATCTGAATCAAAGCACTGAAAGTACTGGTAACTTTGCGAATTATTTAGTTTAAAGTCAGCAATTATTTCTTTTGAGTCTAATTTGTCCCACTATTGCTCTTTCTAGCATTTCATTTTAAAATAACTTTGAAATAACTTGGCAGTTTTTTTCCAAAGGAAGAAATTGAATTACATCCCAACATTTAGAAACTATTCCTTTAGAAACTATTTCTGGCAGCTTGCCGCGAGTAGTGATATCCGAGTCAATGAACTCATTATTTGTGCGCATTGAGAAGTTTTGATGAGTTGTCAATCACCTTTGGTGAAGTTAACATTGAACTGGCTTTCGTCTCATTTACAAAGCTAAGAATAAAAGAAAAGAAGCGAAAGTCTGACCCTTTTTATGATAAGTAATGGTGCGATATTTTAAAAGCGAAATTAAATCTACAATTTAAGATAATGTAATATTACTCAAATATAATCAAAATATCATATAGTGGAGCCACGAAAACTGTTGAACAAGATAATCAAACGGAGTAAAAGCAAGTATTTTTTAAAATATGTATACATACATATGTCAAATATTTGCGTATGTTAATGTCCATATAAAATGTATGATTTCGCAGTTGTTTTTGGTTTCATTAAAAGAAGTTTTGCAAGAAAACTCCACTACCTCACCTTGTTATAAACTACAAAGTTAATTATAAATGCTCTTGTTGCTTCTTCAAATTTCGATTTAATTAATTCACATTTCAGTCTTAAATATACATGTATATACCTTTCTTTTATTATTAATTCATAATCGAAAATTTTTTAGTATTTTGAAAAGTGCAAAAGATTAAAATGCATTTCTGAGTATCAATGACATATGAAAATTAAATTAAATTACCAACTGTTTTTATCATTCAAAGTAAGGCATCCTAGATAGTTAGTTAGTTCAGCTTTGATTAACATTTTACCGTACTTTATTATATGACGTAAATATTCATTCCTGAATGTATCATTTAACACGACAAAAATAGAAGAACTTTTTCAAATGGGAAACTTTGAAACGCATGACTTCGGCAAATTATCGTCTGCAACGACAATGACCAATGTGTCTAGAATGTATTTGATATCCCGTAAGGGAATTATATTGTCTACATTGCGTTTACATAATCATTACGAAATGGTGCCTATTACGAAGTCGCTTTGTTATTGTCCGGAAAGTGTAAATTGACTTGCCATTAACTTAAAATGTGCTTTGTGTGATGAGTTAGTTAATCATACAAAGTTTTTGTTTTTTTATATCAAATGGCATTTCTAAAACGCGTCTTACAAATGCGCTTACGGGGATCTCTTTTTTTTATAAATATTGATACACTTTAACTAAGAGGTACAACATTACCAAGCACCCACTCAATTCTCACCCATTCCTAGAACCGGCTTATGCCACATTTAATTTTCAACTTAAGAAGAAGTATTGGAACCAGGTTAATCAAAGTTTTCTTTAAAAAACATGCCGTTTATTTACTTTATATTGTAATGTCTTAATGTCTTAATGATCAATCAAGAACTATAATTGATGAAACTCACTGAGGCGTAAGGCGTAACGATAGCAGTTCATTCCATTCAAATTGTATGAGCGCAGACATTCTGATATTAGGAATTTAACAAAGTTACCAGTAGCAGACGACAGAAAACAGTATGTGTGAGATCATTGAACAAAACGAAACAAAGTGCCAAAGTTCCTCAACTTATATACAGTAAAAATGTCATTCTTGCTTGTTTTAATTATTTCTTCCTTTTCTGTAATTACACTGTGCCCCCCCCCCCCTCTTCAATCGGACTAGTCCTCCATATTGTTTATTGCATCACAAAAGAATGGTATAGTCTAGTCTGTTTCCGTCCCTACCTTCATTTACTACGGAAAGTGTAAGTGTAAAGGGAATGAACGACAGAGTATGTATAGTCTTTTTTCAAAGTTAAATTGTCCATTTAGTTATTGCCAGTTTCGAGGTTAAATTAAACAACGTACTGTTGTTAGTGCTGAACAAAAAAAGCGAGCATTAGTGAGCGACCATGGGTTTTCATTGTTGAACAGTTTGGATTCCTATTACACACTGAGGGATATAAGAATTGAATGCTGATTTGTCATCAGCAACATCTTTTTTTCTGATAACTTGACTAAGCTATTATTAATAAATATTTTTATTGATAGATCTGCTTCCGGTTCCTCTACTTTTACGCCTGATTATAACCATTTTTATATATTTAGTGTTGCCCCAGAAGGAATGTGTAAGGCAAAACTTGTAAAACAGCTACTTTTGACGAAAAGAAAGAGAACGCTTTTTTACACAAATGAAAATAAATGTTTTATCTCTTTTAAGAAGGTCAATATGTATTTAATATGCGTTTGTGTCGTTCTTGCCGATATATCAAATATCAAAAAGTGCGTTGATCCATGTCTGTCGTCTTAAATGATCATAGTTTAATGTCAGGAAGATATTTTGTCGGTCAGAACGTTTATATGATGAGCTTGCGATCTGTCCTTGTTTCTTTTATATTAGTCCAAACATAAGATTGTCGTAAACTGTGGTAAACCGTGTCTATCTTCTTTTATGATATACTGTCAACGCTGTAAGTAGGTCAATATGTATTTATGTTAGTTTGAGATTTGGCGTTGCATTTTTTTGGGAATATCTATTAATACCTAATATAAGATGACATCAAAGCGTTATGATCATTTCTGAAAAGAATTGCAATCCTAATA